GCACTCTACCCAGAGGGACAGATTGAGGCTCTGTCTCCAAAAAAAGAAAAAAAATTAGTAATAAAACTTGATTAAAATAACTATGAGTCTCTTACAAAACTGCATTTGGAAAATCTTAAGTTCTTTATGTTCTCAAAGCCCATTTTATTTAAGTAAATGCTACTTCCTAGCCTGAACATTTACTAAATATATGTGTGATTCTTTTTCAAATGAAGAAACACATGCTTTGAAGAGTACAAGTTGAGAATGGTCCACCTGAGCTTATTCAGAATTAAATAACAGGGTGATAGAAAAAGGTTTATAGACACATTAAAAGATTCTGCAGCTTGAAAAATGATGCCATTTACATAGTGTATCTTATCATGGATTCTTTTCAGCCCTATAGTCACATCTCCTCACATTGAACAAAGTAAATCTGTCCTTTCAACTTCAATAATAATGTTTCGGGATGTTTGCATATATATATATATATACACACATACATACATATATGTAATCACAATTTAATTGACTAGAAGTTAGGGAAGAGTACGCCATGCTATTCTGAATTGTAATTTTCCTGGTGAGTTTTTTCCCCAAATACCATTATTACCAATATAATTTTATCTTTAAGGGACTCTAAATAGATAATGGGCATCATACAGTTATTCTTGCTAGGTTGCTTTGCCAATCATACTGTCTTTTTCTGCAGAGCTGGTAAGAAATCTGGAGGAAACTCACCTTTGTCAGACTAGGACTGTTATTATTCTCTGAGGAAAAACAAATTTCCTCATTCTTCCTTATAGTAAATGACCCTTACTTCCTGAATGCCTCATGATCACTGCCAAACTTGCTGTGAGCATTTCAGCAATCCTGGACTCGCAGAGATAAATACAGTTATCAAATTGATTTTGTTCAGTTTAGTTTTGTTTTTAACACACAATGCAAATATTGTTTAGATTAGTGCCTCATACACTGCCTTTGCTCATGTAAGGATCTTCCATTGGAAATACAAATATTTCCAAAATTATGGGCACATATTTTTAAAGACAATCAATTAACAAACTTAATTGCTTGAATGACTTTGTATTCTTTTTTTTTTTTTTTACCAGACTCTTAGAAAGAACCATCCGGTCAGCTGTAGAACAGCATCTTTTTGATGTTAATAGCTCTGGGGGTCAAAGTTCAGAGGACTCTGAATCTGGACCATCCTCCTCGTCTTCCAGCACCTCCACCAGGCAGTGGCGACGACCGTCCAAGGAGCAGGATGAAGGTCGATGTGGTAGAGACAAGTGAGTTGGCATTGGTTCTCATGGTTGACTTTTCTCTTTCTCATTTGAAATACACACCTAAGTTAGTCACTGTGGCATAGTCACATCTCCTAGCCCTCTCCTGTTATAATATTTGGGCTAAAATGGCATTATTTTATATTTATTATGTATTCATAATAGTTGTATACCCCTCATTCTTTTTCACCTGGACTCATAACACCAAAGTCTTCATGAAAAAACAAAAAAGAAATTTCCTTTTGCCTAATAAAGACAAACACAGAAGATAAATAAATATAAATAAATTCCATGGCATGGCACCTATGGCTCAAGTGGCTAAGGCGCCAGCCACATACACCTAAGGTGGCGGGTTCGAATCCAGCCTGGACCCACCAAACAACAATGACAGCTGCAACCAAAAAATAGCTGGGTGTTGTGGCGGGCGCCTGTGGTCCCAGCTACTTGGGAGGCTGAAGCAGGAGACTCGCTTGAGCCCAGGAGTTGGAGGTTGCTGTGAGCAGTGAAGCCATGGCACTCTACCTAGGGTGACAGCTTGAGGCTCTGTCTCAAAAAAAAAAAAAAAAGAAATCAAGCAGTCCTATATTATAACCCACCGATTTACCCATGACATATTCGGTACTCTTTAAAAAACATTTGTCTTGGAACTGGTGGATAGGATGGGTAGTTGTAATATTCCATTTAGAAAATAAAACGGATATTTTATTTTCAGGAGACATTTGCATTTAAAGTTAGCTACTCACTGAGGTTATAGAAAATATTTAGGAGTGTAATTAGCTGTGTACTGCCTCTGTGGTGTTCTGTTACAAGGCAGATTATTCACTTAACACTGCTCATATCCTCTGCCTTGTTTTTCTGCTCAACAATATGTAGCAACACTTTGCATTTTTAAAATATCCTCAGTGTGTCACGACATCCTGCTTTCCACCCTCTTTGTTTGGGCAGAGGGATAGCACATGGAGGGGGGAAGGTGCAAGGAGCCTGTGGGGAACAGAGAGTGGCGGTGGTGACGTGGGTGCTTGGTGGCACCGGGGGTGGACAGCGTGGGTAAGATCAGAAACCAACAGGACCAGACAGGGCAGAGAAATGTGAAGCATGGGCTGACTCTTACATGGAATTAAATATAATGTTTTCCACATCCAGGCATAGTTCTAGCATAAGTTATCTTGATTGTTTTTGACTAGCTATGTCAGGGGAACAAAGGGAGGTAGGGGATGTATCCCTAGCCTTTCCCTTAATTGTTCTGCTGTGGTGTTCCCTCCACCATTCATTTGGGTCACTCCTCCCGGTCAAATCACAGCCGGGCATCAAGCAGGAGAATACTGGGGTACACACACACACACATATACCATTGGGTTACTGGATGTAGCTGCAATAACTTGCAAACTGCCTCACTCCACTCTTTTTCCTTGGTACATGGTCTGGGTACCAAGGAAAGTCCCTTTCACGTGCTCCTGGTTTGTGTTAACCTTCCAGTCACAAGACCCCCATCCCCCAAAACCTGGTACCCTAGGTCACAATCTTGTCTCAATAGGCTCACACGGGAGCTACTCTCAATGCTCCAGGTCTTTGGAGGCAGGAGGCCCTTATCATTCAAGGCCCCACATCCACTCGTCTTCTCTGACCCGGCTTTGACCACAGGTCAGTAGCCCTTTCCTCCAGCCCCTCTCCCCACCTTCATGCTGGGTACTCCCCTCCTTTCACTTTCCTTCCTTCACCCAGGGCTCTGATTCTAAACTTGTTTCCCTCCATCTCATTCTTTTCCTTTTGCTCATCTGCTTGTTTTTAAATTTGTCCAGCAGGTTGATTTTTTTCAGCATCTCCACTTTGGTCTCAGATTCCTCGTTGAACTTTCTTCCTTTCAGTGACTTTGAAATGCCACCATCAAGGTCCCCTCCACTATCCCCAGGAGAGTCGTAAACATCTCATAATTTGTGAGGTCAAGAGCCATGACAATAACCTATGATAAATGAGTTTTTCATAATATAATGCTTATATGTAGTTCATGCATTTGTCTAAGATATACTGGGCTTTACTTAAAAAATATTTAAAAATATTTTTCTTAAAAAACATAAGGAAATATTAAACTAGACTTTGTAATATTCTATTTACAACTTTCAGCCTTATGGAATGTTTAAGAAGTTTTTTTTTTAAATAGAAATGTTTGTAATTTTATCTATTATTTTGCCTCTAACAACTTAGAGCTATAACCAGTTTTTAAAAGTCCTTGAAGCCAGTGATGGGTATATTTCAAAATGAGATAGAAGAGTCAGTAAAATCTTACTAAAGACATCATGGCAGATTTTTTAAATAAGCAATATAAAAGATAGACTAAGACCATAAATACTTCATTCATTGTGATGCAAACAGATGTTTATTGTCTCAACTCATAAGAAAATATTATCAGCAAATATTATTAGTATTTGCTTCAATAAAAGCATAAAATTTTAAGATATATATTACTAAATAAAAGGACCCAGTTTAATTCATTTAGTAAAAAGTCCACCACCTCCCAGGCATATGGAAATTTGAAATTTTGGTTATGGGTAAATGAAAGTGTATGGTGATAGTCTTTCTATTTCTGTATGTGTTTGAAAAGCATTCAGAATATTTTTTTAAAAAGCAAAGCATCATTTAAATGACAAAGGGTTTCAGTCTTCCAAAACATAATGAACTGGAAAAGTGACCCAATTTTTTTGGTTATATAAGTATTATGTTAAAATCCTACCTCAAAGGAAAAATAAAAGAAAAGCACGCTGTATTAGTTGAATATTAAAATAGTTTAATATTGCTAAAGAATTAAGTATGGAGGGGTAAGAAAGAAATTCTGGGGGAAAAAATAGAAATAAGATCTGGATAATTAACGTGAAAGGCCCAAGATTTAAGTTGAGGTCAAATGCAGCTCAGGTGTGATTGAAACCTGACAGGCTGCTGCAGGAAGGAATTCTGTACCCATGCTGCACATAATCGCAGTTACTGTAGCTGAGACACGAAATCGCAGTTCCTGTAGCTCAGACAGGTGGACACACATAAAAGCAAACACCTCCTTCCTCCGGGGTGAACAGGATTTCCCCATGCACAGACTGCATGGTCAGATGTTCATACATTTATTTTGACAAGATTTATTCTAGTCATTCATTCACTATTTAAAAAGATTATACACTTTGTTTTCTGATTTTCTGACTTTTTTTTTCTTACTTGAGACAGAGACTCACTTTGTCACCCTCGGTACAGTGCAGTGGCGTCACAGCTCACAGCAACCTCAAACTCTTGGGCTCAAGCGATTCTCTTGCCTCAGCCTCCCTAGTAGCTGGGACTACAAGTGCCCACCACAATGGCCAGCTATTTTGTTTATTTGTTTAGCAGGCCCCTGGCTGGGTTCAAACCCACCGGCCCCAGAGCATGTGGCCGGTGCCCTAACCATTGAGGTATAGGCACCCCCCAATTTTCTGATTTTTTAAAATGATTTTTAGTTTTGTATTAGTCTGCTGGACTGTCATAACAAACTACCACAGACTAGGTTGCATGAACAGGAGAAATTTATCTTCTTACGGTTCTGGAGGCTGAAGTTCAAGGTCAGTGATCTGTTCTCCTTGTCCTCTCCTTGGAGATAGCTGCCTTCTCCCTATGTTCTCACACAGTCTTTCCTCTGTATTCTCCTGCTGTCTCCTCTTCTCACACGACACCAGCCCTATCAAATGAGGGTCCTACTCTTATGACTCTTTTACCCTAAATTACCTCCTTGAAAGCCCTGTCTCCAAATATGATCACATTGGGAATTAGTGCTTTACTGTATAAATTTTGAAGGACTGTAGTAGCTCTCAAGCATGAAAGGCTGTCCATCAAAAAATTGCAACTGGACATACACATCACGAAGTAGGAAAGAGAGGTAAGAAGACAAAATTTAAATAGTAAAGCAAATAATTTTGAGTTTTAGACCAAACTCATCCAGCCATCCACAGAAGGTAGTACTCTCATTGTACAGAGAGAAGATATTTCAGTGTTCGCCTGAGTTTCTGGGCTTGCATTTTGTCCCTATCCGCCTTTGCTTCTGTCTTTAATCATTGCATACTTAAAATATTTCTTATAAATGTGCATAAATCCTTTATATAATTTCACTAAATATATTTGTCATGTTAAAGTTATAGAACATAAGACTAAATTAAATACAGCGGTTAAAAATTACCAAGTATAGTATAGTGTTGAAAATATTATGGTAGTTCTTAATTCACAGTTTTGGCTTCATTACAGCCTAAGGATATGAATTTAGATTGTAGAATAAATATTTAATGTTATCTCTCTCATTTTTTTTGATATGGTTGAGCCAATAGTAAAATATGGTGTCTATTTTTACTCTTTAGAACTAAATTTATTTTAAAATAGAGGTTTATATATTTAAGGAGGTATGTTAACTCAGTCATATTAGGAAGAGAGTAAAAATCTCATTCATTTGTGTGAAAGCCTATTACAGGAATGTTTATAAATACTTAAAACTGTTTGTAACCATTGAATGAATTAAGTTCTGCAATTATGAAATTTATATATACTTCTAAAACTAAGTCATGAAAGACCTCCATGTTATAAGCTTACATTCTGGAACTCCTTATGTTGGGAAGTAAAAAATCCATATTTCAGTTAAAATGCTTTTTATTCCATATATTTTATTAACTTCCATTATTTCTATCAATATTACCTCATTCAGTAAGATTTAAATATTTATGCATTTTTACACTACTGAAATGTCTTTATCATTTGGGAAAATATTTATGTCCCATTCTAGGAAGATATCATATTTCCTTTTCAGATATTCTTCTATATTATTAATCTTTTTAATTTATAAAATGAAAAAATATATATTAACCTGTGTGAATAATGGGAAATCTCAGTGTAAATTTACACTGTTCTCCCTGTTTGAAAACAAAATTACTTTGGAGCTGTTCATTGGTAGAAACAGCTCTTGCCAATTTGCCTCTAGGAATAATTTCTCTTTTAATGTGATTTATTTGGCACCAAGCAGTCTCAGGAGAGGCACTCTACTGAGATTTTGATCAAAGGTGCAAACTGGAATTTCTAGGCATTCTTTGGACTTCCTAAGTGTGATATGATGCAGTGGCAGTATCATTAAATGTCTATTTTACCTTTTAAAATAAAATTAACCTTTTTTTATTTTCAATTCAAGGGGGCTTATCAACAAAGAAAATATTCTTTCTGGATTCAACAACCTTGATGATTGTATTTTGAACACTCAAGAAGTCGAAAAATTACATGATAGTAATTCTGGCTCTGTCGGAGACAGGAGCAAACCCAAACGTCAGAAATCCAGTACTAAACTTTCTGAGTTCAACGAAAATCAAGATGGTATTGTGGTAAGTGAATACGCCTGTAAAATGTTTACTTGTAGCTAGTTAAGAAGTATCACATCTCTTTATTTTGTAAAAAAGTTAAAAGAAATTTCAGTCTTGAGTTTTACAGAATTACAGAATATGAGTTCTGAAAGAGACCTTAGAGCTATTGAATATAGACATTTGTATTTCTCTTTAATAAATATAAAAATTAAGGCTAAGAAATACTGCATTCTGCCATAAGAACAACAGACAGCCCAGACTTTGATTTCCATGTTCTTTAAGTTGGTTTGATTTTTATCTCATCTTTTATAGCACTTTTAAACTTTATTTTTGGAATAAATTTGTCCATAAAGCATTTTTCCTTATTTTCCTCTATTCTATTTGTTCTATGAATATGCAAAAAAAAAAAAATAAGTAGTGAACTTCGGTTGAGCTGAAAGAGATACATAGGGAAGGGGCATCAACTTATCTTTGTGTTCAGAAATCTCCTCATGTTCAGAAATACAGCTTAAAATCTATACTCTGTATTTTTTTTCCCAAATTAATCAGAAACAAAAAGAAATAAATCCTCTACACAGTTGCCTCAGACCTGAACGCTGGGTCATTAATTCATCACATAGTATGAGCTTTTACAAGTGGTTCAGTCAATAACTAAATATTTATTCAGTATAACATCAATATTCACCATCCTTTTTCCTTGTGGCTTGGTTTCCCTAAAAAGTGAGCACCAAAGTCTTCCTTAAAAAGATAACAACACAAACCTGAAGATAAATTTTATAATATAACATGAAGTGGAATCTCTAATGGAAATGGGCAATGTCTATTCTTACTGGTGGGTGTGCAAAGCCTTTGAAGTACTTTATCTCTGAATAGTTTTTAGCTCCATGCTGGGTTTCTCATACAGTTAAGAAAATTTATGGGTCATGTGTTTTCCCATTATCAGTTTTTGCGTGTGCTCAGAGAAGATTCCCAATTTTGCCCTAAGTGAAATATACATAAATGCAAATCCAGGAGAAAACACATATATGTGATGATTCTCTCAAAAAGCCTTGGTGCTTAGTTTCCACAAATGAACTGATCAGCTCAAATGAAAAAAAATAATTGTCCACCTCAGACTTTTGTCTGGTACAGTTCTCAAAGAATTTAAGCTTTAGAATCATTGCACATTAGCTGTTTTTTAACATTGATGATTTAAACCTCTTTTTGTTAAAAGTAAATTTTTATATTTTTATTTATTTTTTACTAAATCATAACTGTGTACATTAATGCATTTATGGGGTAAAATGTGCTGATTTTATGTACAATTTGGAATGCTTACATCAAACTGGTCAACTTTTACATAAGATTAATGATACTAGCTTTATTAGCTCTTTATTTGGTCCGTGATTTGCTTATCTGCCAGAAAGAGATATCTGGTGACTAAGCCTGAGATTTGGCTTGAAAAGAATGTACTTTTCAGTTTGAATCCCTTTTTGTATTAACTTAACCCATTAATAGTTTTTTTTTTCCACTAGGAAAAGCATCTTAGGTGCTAACAGTTAATAGAAGTGGAAAAAT